TTTCTTATAAAAGATGAATTGAAGACTAATAGGATTTTGAAGTTAGAATTGGATGCAGACAACTTTAGGCTATCTTACATTAAAAAATTCAATCCAGCCCTGGCCAATGTGGCTCAGTGGTTTAATGCCAACCTATGAACCAGGAGGTCAAGGTTTGATTCCCAGTCAGGGCACATGCCCGATTGTGGGCTGGATGCCCAGTAGAGGGTGTGTTTCTCTCTCTCTCTCTCCCTTTCTTTCTCTCTAAAATCAATAAAAATATGTTTTACAAAATATTTTTAAAAATTTGAGTCCAGAAGAATTTAAGGTGCTTTCCGATGTATAATATAACTGAACAGGGGGTGTTCCTGAAATCCTGATCCACCTCTCCTAGCTACAAGTCTGCCTGGCTTTTTAATTATATGTCTTAAATTTGTTCTTTAAAAGAAAAATGCCCATAGTATTCACCAAATTAAACATTTTAAAATATGCATGTTTAAAAATCCAACTTTCTGAAAAAATATTATTAGCTACTGAAATGATTCACAGAACATGAATATAAAGTAGGATGGGTTAATTATGAAATTTCAAAGAAAGAAAATGTTTCCCAGCACACTAGCTTATTAGGAAAACATGTAACTTTTTGAAAACAGCTTTTAGAATTGACTTGGATTAGAGTTCACAGAAAAGACAATAATTAAAAAATGAAATTAACAATAGTAAGTTAAATAATATTTAAATATAACTAAATCAATAAATTAACAGGTAAGAAAACACGCTTGCTGAAACAACTTTAAATGATACAATAAAGCAGGCAGTTTATTAGAACTGTATAGTTCAGGGACTCTGACAGTTATGTGTATAGTGAACCATTTATTTAATTATTAATTTATATATTTATAAATTTAAAATTTTATAATTTATAAATTTTATAAAAAGGTATTTATGTATATTTGGCTATGTTTACCTGTTATTTCTCTACAAATTCATTGAGTGAAGTTGATTTCTAAGATTAACGTGTGTGTGTTTTTTCAGTTTTTTTAAGATTTTCTGGATTTGGGGCTTCCCTTATATTTCTCTGATGTTGAGTGCATTCCCTGACAATGCTTGGTAGGAAGAGTAAGACTGACAATGTGCTAAGGCCTTTTCCAATTTAACAAATCCTGTGATTCTTTGACTTTCTGGTTGAGAAATCACAACTCCATTTTCAGTTTTGAGTTGCTCAGTACAGCTTATTTACATATATGCAATTTTAACCTATATATGTATTTCTCTTTTGGCCTCGAATTTCTTTAACTCACTATCATTACTGTTTTTCCTTTCTCCCTCTTCCCTTCCCATTCCCCAAATTCCTCTTCTTTCCTCTTCGCTCTTCCTCACTTTACACCCTCCTACCCCTTACCTCTGGTGGTCCAATGACTATGGCCTCCTCTGCAGGGTCTCTATAGGCATAACCTGTGCTGCCCAGGCTATAATAGCAGTTATATTCAACTTCTGGATTATCAATAGATCCATTATGACTAACCAAAAAAGGCTCTATCACTTTCACATTCCTGAACTTAGCAACATTTATTTTCCTATAAGTTTTGGTAATAAAGGGATAGATGAATTAAAGCATGAATAATTCATAGTAGAATCAATAGTAAATCTAGCTGAGAAACCCTTGCAAATAGTCTCTTAGGTAGCACTATACAGGGGTGGACAAAAGTAGGTTTACAGTTGTAATACAAATAAATAATGCAATAATTAACAAATAATATAAGAATAAACTGTTTCACATACCCACTACTGAAAACCTACTTTTGCCCACCTTGTATACATCTCTTTTTTTTGTATTGATTAAGGTATTACATATGTGTTCTTATCCTCCATTGTCTACTTCTTATATACTACAAGTTTATATAACTTGGTTTTTAATGAAGTATTATGGTATTATGATGTATAAATATCACTGGAGTAAAAGTAAGATGATTTTATTGTGTTTTATTTTAACAAAGGTGGTTTTAATAAAACATTTAGGTTTAGAAATGAAGGTTTCTTCTGTCTACATTTGAGACCATAATTACTTTAAGGAAATACACTAGGTGTTAAATTAAATTATATTAATCATTGTCCTATTAACAATCTTCTAAGGCTTTAAGTCCATTCAAATATTTTCTTAATGTAGGAACTTCATTATCTTTTTTTTTTCTTCCTCAAGGTATCTTAGATTCTACCAGTTGTTGGATGAGAGTCCAAGTTTGTTGATTTCACACTATCTCAGGAGGGGAAAATTCAACCAGGAGCTTCAGGAACTGTCTAATAGTATTTCTCATTTACTCTGTGGCAGCTTTCAAATTATAAGGCCATGTTGAAGTTTATTTTGTACCAAAGGCATGTCAACTTCTTAAGCATTCTCTAATTGGTTCTGATCTAAGAGAACTAATGAGGAGAAACCAAGATGGCGGCATAGGTTAACGCCGGGGATTGCTGCCTCGAACAACCAATTCAAAAATACACCTAAAAGATGGAACGGACATCATCCAGAACCACAGGAAGGCTGGCTGAGTGGAAATTCTACAACTAGGAGGAAAGAGAATATCATACCCAGACTCAGAGGAGGCGCAGGGCTGAAGTGAAATTCTCAGGTGCGGAGTGCGCGGAGCCAGCGGGCGGCAGAGGGCGCAGTTGGTGTTTTCAATCGGGAGGGAGTTTCAGACTCTGAGCTCCAGAGCCGGGCGAGTCTCTAGGGACCCAGACTCAAACGGGAGAAGCAGGACTGTCTGGCTTCGGTCGGAACTCGAAGGCAGCTTTCTCTCCGAGGTTTGCAGCAGTTGCTGGGACTCTGTGAGGCAGAGCCCCTAAGGACGGAACTGAGAGCAGCCATAACTGCTCCCTCCACCTGCCCTGTAGATCCCCTGGGACCCGCCCCGCCCAAGCCCTGCGCAGAGCCATTTGCCAGATAGCCTCAGGCAAACGCTAGATTAGCACCGCCCTAGAGATCCAGCACAGAAGCTCTCCCACTGCAGACACAGCTGACTCTCATAGCCAGTTAGCCTGGAGGTCAAATTACCCCCGACAACAATCAAGGCTTAACTACAACAAGACTGCGCACAAAGACCACTAGGGGTTGAACCAAGAAAGCATAAAAAATGCAGAGACAAAGAAACAGGACGCAAATGTCAGAATTGGAGGATATAGAGCTTAAAACCACACTTTTAAGGTCTTTCAATAATTTTCTAGAAACTGCCGATAAACTTAATGAGATCTACAAGAAATCTAATGAGACCCTCTGCTGGGGTCCAGCCCCAGCAGGTCCAGGGGTCCCCAAAGGTGTGGACGGAGTCGGTGAAGAAGGAATGACACAGAGGTAGTGTTCAGGTGATCATCATAGCCGGGTTCTCTTGTCAGGGTCTCCAGCCAGGTTCCGTAGCCGGTTCTCCAGCCAAGTTTGGTCTAGGATCTCCAGCCAAGTTCTGTGTCCATGTTCTCTTGCTAGGTTCTCCAGCCATGTTCTCCAGGTTGTCCAGCCAGGTTCTGTAGCCATGTTCTCTCGCTAGGTTCTCCAGCCAGGTTCGGTCACCAGGTTCTGTCTAGGTTCTCCAACCAAGTTCTATAGCCAGGTTCTGTCCAGGATCTTTTGCCATGTTCTCTCCAGCGAAGTTCTTCTGTCTCTAGATTCTTTGTAGGTTCTGTCTTCTAAGTTCTGTCTAAGTTCTGTCTCCTGTTGTCTTGTTGCATCTCTATTTATACCAGTTGATTCTAATCCTATCAATCTCTATTCCAAAGGTTAGGGCGTTTCTTATCTCCATTCCAGGGAGTAAAGATTATGTACTTAAGCATGATTGTTCGTAGTTAGTGAATAATTACCCGCCTGGCAGTTAAGAGGTTTTATTCCCTCCCTAACTTCAGGGGAAAATCCCTACCTGGGGAAACAACCTTTCTCAGAGAGGTGACCTTGGTTAAAACACATAGTGCCAAGAAGGTGAGCAAATATATTAAGAACAGTATGCCTTATATGCCAGGTCCCTTGAAACAGCAAGGATGGACCGGCTCCCGGCAACCCTCGATGTTGTGATAAAGAACCAACTAGAAATTAAGCATACACTGACTGAAATAAAGAATATTATACAGACACCCAACAGCAGACCAGAGGAGCGCAAGAATCAAGTCAAAGATTCGAAATGCGAAGTAGCAAAAAACACCCACTGGAAAAGCAAAATGAAAAAGGAATCCGAAAATACGAAGATAGTGTAAGGAGCCTCTGGGACAGCTTCAAGCGTACCAACATCAGAATTATAGGGGTGCCAGAAGATGAGAGACAGCAAGATATTGAAAACCTATTTGAAGAAATAATGACAGAAAACTTCCCCCACCTGGTGAAAGAAATAGACTTACAGGTCCAGGAAGCACAGAGAACCCCAATCAAAAGGAATCCAAAGAGGACCACACCAAGACACATCATTAAAATGCGAAGAGCAAAAGACAAAGAGAGAATCTTAAAAGCAGCAAGAGAAAGAAACTCAGTTATCTACAAGGGAATACCCATACGACTGTCAGCTGATTTCTCAACAGAAACTTTGCAGGCCAGAAGGGAATGGCAAGAAATATTCAAAGTGATGAATACCAAGAACCTACAACCAAGATTACTTTATCCAGCAAAGCTATCCTTCCGAACTGAAGGTCAGCTAAGGAAAAGCTAAAGGAGTTCATCACCACCAAACCTGTATTATATGAAATGCTGAAAGGTAT